CGAACTGAATTGCCAAGGTATTGGATCGATTGTCGTGTGGATGTTAAAATCACCAGAAATGAAAATAAGCACAGTAGGGAAAGAGAAATAAGCCATATGCTAAAATCTTCAATGAATTGTGAGAGCTTCTTGAATCAAGGTTAATGAATCTAAACAGAGCAGTGAGAAAGTATAATAGAATATTCTCATGTCATATATTTCAAAGGGTTTGGGCTTTTCGGGAATAAAAAGGAACAATGATTGGAACAGCATTTCTCAAACTTTAGTATGCTTCCTAATACCTACAGCTCTTGGTCAATATATTTTCTAATCCAGTAGGTCTCAGGTGGGACCCAAGTAAACCAATGCTACCACTCCATGGACCACACTTTGAAAACAAAGTCTAGAAATACAAACTTTGCTGTACATTGAGATCACATGGGGAGCTTTAAAAATACTGATACCATGATCATATGCGAGTGCAGCTTGGGATTTTAGATTTTAAAGCTTCCCCAGAGAATTCTAATGGCAGCCAAGGTTGAGAAACATAGGTCTAGAAAAAGTGATGAGGAACAAGAAGATCACCTACCCTGCTTGATCACCTACCCTTCTCCAAGTCAAGTTCATGGGGAAGGGGATCACAATCTATCCTGCATTGTCAAGGAATGCCAGTGAAGCTGTCAGTCCACATACCTCTCCCATTGATGGTACTGGAAATACACTGAGAAATTCTTCTTTCGATATTCTTTTTCTGGACTTCACTTGGTCACCAATCTATAAATAAAAGAGTAGTACTATATAAATGTTTAATTAACTATTAGTTATAGTCAAGTATACCGAAAGAGATTTATGAAATTCATATCTCAGGAATAAATGTTACTTTGCTTCTCATTTGCAACATATAAATGTTCTTGCCATTCTTCTTTCACTTATTAAATATTAAGTACTGTCTATGTACCAAAAACTTTGCTATACTCTAAGAACACTTCATGAGCATAAAATTAGCTGGGTGTGGTGGCACACACCTGTAGTCCCAGTTACTTGGGAGGCTGAGGTAGGAGGATCGCTTGAGCCTAGGAGTTCAAGGCTGCAGTGAGCTATCATGAGGCCACTCACTGCACTCCAGCCTGAGCAACAGAGTGAGACCCTGTAACAAAAACAAAGTTACCGGCGCGGTGGCTCATGCCTGTAATCCTAGCACTCTGGGAGGCCGAGGCAGGAGGATCACTCAAGGTCAGAAGTTTGAAACCAACCTGAGCAAGAGCAAGATCCCGTCTTACTAAAATAGAAGAAGAGAAAGAAATTAATTGGCCAACTAAATATATATAGAAAAAATTAGCCGGGCATGGTGGCGCATGCCTGTAGTCCCAGCTACTCCAGAGGCTGAGGCAGAAGGATTGCTTGAGTCCAGGAGTTTGAGGTTGCTGTGAGCTAGGCTGATGCCACAGCACTCTAGCAGGGACAACAGAGTGAGACTCTGTCTCAAAAAACAAACAAAACAAAACAAAGTTGCTAAGGTCAGCTCCTTTCCTCTTCACCCCCTTCAGTGTGATGCAGTCACAATCTGCATTCCATGTTGCATTCCTCCAACATCCTGGTTGACATTTTTCAACCATATAGTAAAATTCACTCTTTGTGGAAAACAACTCTATAGATGGTGACAAGTGCACAGAATTGTGTATCCACCACTACTGTACCATGCAGAGCAGCCCTATCATGCCAAAAATTCCCTCATACAGACCTGAGCAACCACTGATCCGGTTTTTCTTTCCACAGTTTCACCTTTCCCAGAAAGGGAGAATGCTAGAATAAAATTTCTGTGGTGCTGGATTAAAGTTGGAGGTACGTGGAGAATTCTTATAATTTTATGTTGCTGTTGCTCAGCATCCATTTTGAACACAAGTTTAACTTTCTCATGCCAGAAGCAGGGCTCAGTCCCCTTGACACAGTTTCCAGTTCTGCATCATACCAAAGGGCTCAAGCCAGTGGCCAAAGATAAGAGCTTAGGGGTATCTCTCCCATCCAGCTGACTGGGCTGCCCGCTTTCCCCTGCCTCTTCCTTTAAACGCACCAGTTAGGCATTTGCCTGTGAGCTTAAATTGTCCCACACTCTATTCCTTCATATGTCCTGCTAGTCACCCAGCACACTTTCTCTCTTTGCCTGACTCTTCATTCCTGCCTCAAGAGACATGGTGACAGAGGACTGCCCTCCTCATTCAGTATGCCCTCCTTGCCCAAGATCTGTAAGTAAAAATCTTTGAACGTAATCCTTGCTGTGGCACTATATTGAATTTGCACCTTCCATCTGAAGAACCAGGGGCTGCCCCAGACATGATTTTCCCCAGAACACCGGAGAAAGCACAGGGTTGAACTCCCAGCGCCAAAGTGATAGGCAGACACAAACTGGACGTGGGTCAAACAAGAGCCACAAGGGCAGCTGCCAGTATAAACAAGTGTCCTGTGTGAAGGACCCCAGGCACGGGTCAGACAACTAGACGTTAGTTTACCTCCAAGTAAAAGAAGTATCCTGTGAGAGGCACAGTGTAAACACCCACATCACGCTCCCCTTCATTTCCCATTAAAGGAGGGTTGCTAAGCTGCTCTGGCATCAGAACCCCAATTTAGCTGAAGGCTCTCAAGACAAGTCATTAGCATAAGTTCATGCTTTTTAAAATATAAATACAGATAGATGGATAAAGAAATATAGTTGCGTGTATACATGGGTAATTACGTATACATATATTTCTTTGCTAAGAGGACCTATACCACCCAGATCTTGGTTTCTAAATACCATTCTCTAATGAAAGGAACAAGGACTTGTAGAGACTTCAGGGCTGGGGCAGGGAAAGTACGAGATAGACCTAGGGTAAGGATGTATTAAGTAAAAAATAAATAAAATGGAGACATTCCAAAAGGACACAGGAACCAACTAGAAAGAACTCCCAATGGCCAAAGTTGGAACAATGTGAGCAACAAAATAAATAATGATAATATTGGATTATAACCCAAAGAATAAAATAAATATATGTATATGTGCCCATACTGATATAAATAAATGATTGAATAAATATATGAGGAAGAAGTAACAACTCTTCTGCACAGAGTTCCAATTTGTAAATGTAAAAAAAATGAAGGAAATATAAAAATCACCATTAGAAAACCACAGAATTAATTGTTGAAAGCAAGATCCATGAATGAATACTAACATTAGTTAGAAAGTTCAAGGAGAAGCAGGATACTTTGAGGATAAATAGCCTCAAAGTATCTCCCACAAAAATATTTATTAACTACAAAGGGGAAAAAGTAATCGAAACCTGGCAGATATCAACTGAACCAGTGATCAAGGTTAAAATTACCAATAAAAAGACATATCAATATCATATTGTATCCTGATATAATGTACCAAGAAGGTAACACCACTTCTGTGGCATTTTTCCCAAAACTCCATAACCTCAATTTAATCAAAGGAAAAACATCACACAAACTTGAATTGAGGGATGTTCCACAAGTGTCAAGTTTATAAAAGAAAGGGAAAGACAAGACATTGTCACAGATCAGAGGAAACTAAAGGACGTAACCACAAAATTTAACAGATTAGAGTCTGAAACAGAATAAGGACATTTGGGGGGAAAAACTGTTGAAATCCTAATAAAGTCTGTAGTTTGTTAATAATATTATACAAATATCCGTTTCTTAGTTTTGGTAACTGTACCATGGCTATGTACATGTTAGCTTTAGGGAAGACTGAGTAATGGATATACAGGAACTCTGTATCATTATGGCAACTCTTTTATGAGTCTAAAGTTATTTCAAAATAAAAAGTTAAAATTTTAAAAATTCTCAAAATGTTCAAAATCTTTTTTGTGCCATATTTTTGGTTCAGAACAAATGTTACTATAATTATATAAAACATACATTTAATAGTTTGCTTTAAAAGGTATTAAGGATGGACACGGTGGCTCACACCTATAATTCCAGCACTTTGGGAGGCCGAGGTAAGGAGGTCACTGAAGCTAGGTGTTTGAGACCAGCCTGAGCAACATAGAGAGACCCTATCTCTATAAAAAATTTAAAAATTAGTCAGATGTGGTAGCATATGCCTGCAGTCCCAGCTACTCTTCTGGGAGGCTGAAGCAGTTGGATCCCTTGAGCCCAGGAGTTTGAGGTGGCAGTGAGCTATGATGATGCCACTGCACTCCAGTCTGGGCAACAGAGTCTCAAAAAATAAAATAAAATAAATATGTATACATATATATGTGTGTGTGTGTGTGTGTGTATAAAGCACTTATATATATATATATATGTCATTTGATATGGATTATACAGAGTAATGTTCTTGCCCACAGGAATTAATAATTTAGACAGTCTGTTTCAAAGCTGCATTCCAAGCCCAATATCAGTGATACCAAAAAGAAATTTCACTCATGCCCCAAGGTGCTTGATAACAAGGCTACTTTCCCTACTGTACCTGCAGCAAAGGTAAGAACTCTGTGGATGGGGAAACAGTGTGAGACAGACTTTCTGAGGCCCACAGAGTTCTCCCTGGGATGCTATAGGTTTTCATGGTCATAAGCACTCATTTGCTTATAGCAGGGGTCCTCAAACGTTTAAACAGGGGCCAGTTCACTGTCCCTCAGACCGTTGGAGGGCCAGACTATAGTTTTAAAAAAAACTATGAACAAATTCCTATGCACACTGCACATATCTTATTTTGAAGTAAAATAACAAACGGGCAAAAACACCCACATGTGGCCCGCGGGCCGTAGTTTGAGGACGCCTGGCTTATAGTATAAGTCTTATCAAAATAACAAAAATACTCCTCTTTGCTGCCATAGTGGAGAAAATGATCCATTAAATTCTGATTATTTGAAAGAAAAAAGTCTATATTTCAAGAAAAGAAATTATTTTATCTCGCAATAAAGAACTTTTCCTGTAACAACAACTAACATTTATTGAAAGCTTATAATATGCCAAGTCCCTTTTGCAAAGCTCTTTCCTTGCAAGATCTCATCTAATCCCCCTAGCAACCCAATGAGGAATTACTGTTGTGTCCATGTGTCAAATGAGAGAACTCTGGTGTTGGAAGAAGGTCAAATAATGACCTAGGTCACAAAGCTAGGAAAAGAAAAAAACTAAAGTCTGTCATACTTTAGAGCTGACTTAACCCCTATAATGGACAACCAGATTTCTTTACAGAACAGAGTTTTCTAGCTGATTATGAGTATAGGCTTATTTTTGAGATTTAGAATGAGCTAAAAATATTTTTTTAATTTCTACAAACATGACTAAGGTAAACATATTACAAAAACTTTTATAAACAAATGCATATACCACTTGGATGGAGAATTGTTTAATTTGCAATATAAGTATTAATACTTAGGACATGTTGAAACCTGACTAAATCCTTTAAGCTTTTGTAGACCACTAGTGGAATGTATTAGGCACTCTGTCTTCTTAACAGCAAAGATGTCAGGGCCATTACCTGCTAGCCAAATGGCAAACAAAACCTCTTTACCTACTTGGCCTAGCAAATACTGCTAGTATAAGGGAGGGGTGGAAAAACAAGGGTTATTTAGCCTTAGGTCTTGTATTTCTAAAGTGAATATTGTCCTCCAAAGCATCAAGGGATAAATATTAGGGAAACCTAGATTATCCTCCAAAATTCCCTTTCCCTTTCATATTTAACAAAGCCTAACTCTCCGTCACCATCAGTAAGTCAGTCTGTCTTTGGTTTGCTTTGAAGGTTGGGTAGCTGCTTTTTAGTGATATATACAAAATGAGAGGGTAGACAGATCAATGGAGAGATTATGTAGGAAATGATCTTGTTATAACATCTGTTCATAGCACTTTTATTTGCTCATTGACTAAATATGTATTTTAAGTACTGTCTATGTGCCAGGCACTGTACCACAGCTAGAGGGGGAAAAAAAAAGAACGACATGTATCCTGTTCACCAGTAGTTCAGTTTCCCAAGGAAAAGAGACATAAGTAATCAACTATAATAGGCTGGACTCTCAAAATAGTGAAGTGGGAAAAGCACATACTTGCTGTGTCTGGGAAAGTCAGGATATGGGGCTCAAGGTATAAAACTGGAGCTCACCACGCAAAGAGGAACACAAACAATATTCCAGGAAGGGAGAATTGTGTGTGCAAAACAACTACAAGTAGCTCAGCAGGACTGCATTTCAGCTTGCAAGCTGGGGAGTGGCAGGATATGAGACTGGAAAGGCAAACAAAAGCCAAAACGACACAGACAACTGCCTGATGTCATCGTACTTACCTTCTTACGAAATCATAGAACATGTCTTATTCATCGATGTATATATCCCTAACTCAGTGTGTACCACATAATAGGCCCTCAAGTAACAGTAAATAACAACCGGACAGTCATTCTAAATGTAATTTTTTGTCTTTCATAATCAGCTATAAAACTAGGTCAACTTGTATTAAACTCTTAGTTGCCTGAGATTTAAAAAAAAAAAAAACTAATGTATATACTGCCCTCTAGTGGTTATAAAGCAATAAACTTTTCTATCTCAGTCAATGTCTGTAGCTTTCACACATTTTAGTAACAAAGTTACCCAAGAGATGCACTCTGATATTTTTCCATTCTACTATATTTTATTTTAAAAACAATGTTCTTTACAAGCAATAAGATACATTCACCCACTAATAACTTGCCACCCAGTTTGACATCAGTGGTCCCTGACAACACTTGTTTTATTTTAACATATTGTTATAAATATGTCACGTAAACTATGGTTCATGATTTAATTCATTCTGAAAGTAGATATGGTCTAACTTTTTCTCAAATATTAGGTTGTTTAAGTTTAATAATACAAATAATATTAATAATACAAATAAAATTTCCCATACACTAGTATTAATAATTATACCTAGCAAATATATTACTTTTTCTACTTTATATACATTTTACATGTATTACCTCAAGTCTTTGCTACAACCCTCTGTTTACTTTTATTCTTCAGAGTTAAATACCAAATTTCCTTAGGCATAATAAGACTTAAAGACATTTAATTATCTTTAATGTTTATTGTTATAATAGGTAAAAATTTAATAAAAGATTCTACATGACAATAGAGAAATCGTTAAATTATGGTGCAGTCATATGATTATTATGGAAACATTAACATAATGTTTTTGAAGAATATGTAATGAAATAAAATATCAATGATTCATTGCTAAGTGGAAAAAGGGATATGGAGCTATACTTACAGTGTTCCAACTATAAGAGGAAACAAATATACAACAGAAAGAAAAGTGGCTGAGTGTGGTGGCTCATACCTGTGATCCTAGCACTATGGAAGGCTGAGGCAGGAGAATCACTTGAGGCCAGGAGTTCAAGATCAGCTTGAGCAAGAGTGAGACCCCCATCTCTACAAAAAAAAAAATATATTAATAATAATAGAAAAATTATCTGGGCATGGTGGCACATGCCTGTAGTCCCAGCTACTCAGGAGGCTGAGGCAGGAGGATCCTTGAGCCTAAGAGTTTGAGGCTGCAGGGAGCTATGATGATGCCATTGCACTTTAGCCTGGGCAACAGAGTAAGACCCTCTCTCAGAAAGAAAAAAAAAAAAGAAAAGAATAAAACAGAAGAGAAAAGGCAGGAAATTAATACAACGGACTATCAGCAGTGGTGTTTTCTCAGTACATCTTATATGTACAACTTTTTAAATTAGATAAGTCAGAAAAAATTAATAACAAATGAGATTGTCTCCTTTGATGGAAGTGTACACATGAAAGAAGAAAGAATGCCCCTCAAAGTCTGACTTTCCAGGTTTCCTATGAAAAAAATCCTATTATAAAAAAAATCCTATTAACAGATTTTCTATACTGGAGGATAAGTTTGCTTGTCACAAAAGCGTCTTCCAGGGCATTCCTTATCCACAAATATTCTTGAAAGGGGCTGCTAGACCTTCAGAATAAGAAGATGAGTAACTAAGCATAACTTTGCTTTATTTCCTCTTATATATGAATATCAGTGAAAACAAACTTTCCAAGAACTTTCCCTTGGAAAGATTACATCAGCCTGACTTTTGTTCCACTGGCTGGTGCTTCTCACAGCAAAGTATGAAAACGCTGTTAACAGTACTGCACTACAGAATGGTAAACTAGGTACTCAAAAATATATACAAAAATGCCTTAGTAATTGTTATTGCTTATATTTCCTAAAATTTTGATTATGACCTAAACAACATTTATGAAACACCTAAAGTATTCATTAAAATCTTTCCATTTTTAATATTTTACCCTCATATTTTATTGTGTATGTAGTAGTTGTCATAATGCCTTTCTTCTAAAGATTTTACAATGTCTAAATTTTCTTTAAAATTTTAAGCAGTAAACTTTCCAAGAATTTTAAAGAACTTTACACATTACATACTCCAAACTCACCATATTAAGAATGAAATTCAAGTACTTTTTAAATGGCCTTGGTTAAAGCTTCAAATGTCCATGGAAACAAAACTAGTCTTTTGCCTTTTGGGTTTCTACAACCTAGCAAAGAAAGGAAAGGAAAAAAAGAATCTTTACAGAAAAATGAGAGCTTTATAAATTACCACATTCATTGGAAATCAATTCAAAGCTATGTGATTTATTTATGTATTCACTCAACATAACTTTATTGAGCAAATCATCTCTGTGCTTGGGACTGGGGGCTCCGATAGGGATTAAATACTGTCCCACTAATCAAGAAATTTATTGCCCATGAGATCTTAAAGGCTGGTAAATAGGCAATTACAATAAAATGTGACAAACATTACAAAAGGAGTAAACGCAGATTATAATGAGGTCATATAAAGGAGCCATCTAATCCAGACTTGGGCATGAAGGTCAGCTTCCTAGAAAATGCGACTACTAAACTGAGACCTAAATGATGGCTTAGACAAGCAAAGATGGACATGGAAGTAATTTCAGGCATTAGAAACAGCATGTGTCAAACTCAGCCCGCTTTACCCTTACTTCATAAATCTCCAATTCAAAGAGTACTGAGAGAGCTTTCAGTCAAAGAAAGCAATTGAAAACGCACTTTTACTTCTACTCCTCCCAGAAACCCCACTTAAATGACAATTAAGGATTAAAAAGGAGAGAGTACAAGAACAAAGAGAAACAGGGAAGATTGCACCATGACTTTGAAAGTTAGAAAGTATGTGGTCAAGTAGCAACTGATTTAGCTAATCAAAGAAAGCTAAAACCTAAACTGGCAGCGGGTAAAGCCTAAAGCAAGTCTGTCCTGCAGAAGCCCAGAAAGGCTCAGGTTTAAAAGATATCAGGTAGTTCTGAAAACTGGAGGTAAAGGTAAGATTGAAATAGGATTAGCTGAAAGTCTGTTTAAAAAACAGGCCTCAGATCCAAACCCTATACCATACAGCTGGACCACTCCTCCTCTTTAACCAAAGCAAGAACATTTAACTTTAAAACTGAAAATAAAAGAAGGCTTCTTTAACCTGTTAAAAG